CAAGTTACATTATTATAATTGACTAATTATTCACATTCTAAATAATTTACAAAATAGAAAATGATATAATTTCAGGGGATCAATTATAAGAGAAAAAGATGGATTATAAACAAAATATAATCATAAGAAATCACACATGTGAAAAGGTTAAGAACGTTGAACTCCAAACAGGCCTTGTGTTCATGCTATATAAGTTTAATTCAATTGATTCGATTTCACATGAATAATTGATTATATAAAATTAAGCTTAGCTTGTTTTAGCATACCAAAATTCTTTTATTTTACACAATAATAATTCGATTAAAGTATATACGTTATGTTCTATTATAAATTATGGTTTTGTGTCATTAACATGGTGAGAGAGGAAATTGCGACTTTGAATAATGTATGAAAATGTAAAAGTTAACTAACATATAGTTAAGGTGATGGTAATGCAAAACCACAATAGGCACGATGATTTTGGCAAATGCATTATATAACCTTTGCGGAGAACTGATGAAATACTTGTTAATGGAAAAATATGTACATTACCTTAACCTGAGGGAACACAGTTATAGATTCTTCTACAATGTATTTTAAAGACTAGATTGAAAATCGAGATTTTTAATTCGATAATTTTTTTTTTGTAATCACTTAAAACAATGATAAGAACAATATAGTTCATTTTAGTTTAGAGATTATGATATCAAATTAGTATAGTTTTCATTAACAAAATAATCGATTATAGATTTTACATGAATTATTATATAGAATTGCATATCCGTTTGTATATATATGAATTTATTATTATCATACATAGAAATAAATTTCATTCGGGGATGAACTGAATACTTAAACCAAATCAAACCGAATTAAAATTCACAAATTTAAACGTGAATTCAATTATACATATAATAATTCAGATGCGTATAAAAATTTATATACTAATTAAATTATCTGAATCGAACTCGAATTATATGAAAATGAATTGAAAAAACCAAACTTAAATTAGTAAATATTATTACTTTTTAATATATTTTATATTTTGTTAATTAGTTAGGTGATTTTTCTAATATAATAATCATAAACATGTTTTTACATATTCATGAATCTTTCTAAGAAG